ACTTGCTTCGATTTGTGATTCGATTCAAAACCAAAAAAGGTGATTCGCACGTTCCTAGTTTAAACTTTAACATTAAAGAGCATTGTAAACCAAAAAACTTTAATTTTTACCTCCTTCAAAATTTCTAATGCGTTTTCACCAAAGAATCTTCTTCCTGTAGAGTTTAAATCATCCATTGTTTATAAATTAGTAAGTGCAGGATGTAATTTCTATTAAAAAGGTAAAACTTCTCGCCACCTCAAAACACAAATGATTGAACACTACAATAATTATAATAATGACTGTTTCTGAATATTGAATTCTGTCTCCAATAAATTTGAGCTTAAGATTAAGGAAAGTTTGTTCATTAAATGGAAAAATTCAGATATGAACAAACAGTTAAACCATTATAAAATATCACTTTTCACATAATAGTTACCATTTTATTAGTTGTTAACTTTTTGTTAAATAATTTAATAACCTTTTTTATTGTATTTGTTGCTATTGCCTATTTTGTTGTAACTAATAAATAATAGTAATTTATATTTTATAACCTTATAATATTTGTATATAAAACTAAATTAGTTTATTTTAACCCAACTGAAGTGACTATAGAATAGTGGAAGCATTTATTGTTATTTATTTGTTAAAAAAATGGTTTTTATTAATAAGTGAAAAAAATTCATTCAAATTATTTTTGAGAAAAAATATTTACCCAAAAATTTACTCAGCCTAGGACCCCCCGAGAGTGTAAATCCGGTCCTGCATATATATATATATATATATATATATATATATATATATATATATATATATATATATATATATATATATATACACATATACATATACATATATATACATATACACATATGTATATATACATATATTAGTAGTAATTAGATAAAAGGAATATCTTTGTCTGAATATTGTTTATAATTTATGAATAAGTTTTAGGTTTTTAAATTTCTTATAATGCAAAAATTTATTATCTTTTTCTTTATAGAGTCTATTTCATTAATAAAATGGTTGACATTCATTCAGTTGTTTATCCATGTGAAACTGGTATCGTTCTTAGGTATGTTCACCTATAGCTGTAGGTTTATTATCATGTTGAATTTTTTTTTTTTTTTTTTTTTAATTTTAATTCACCTCCTCAAGGCTGAGAAGGCCACTACAGACGAGTAGGCTATTTATTTGTGGTTATAACCCTCTCTCAACTCTATAACTCCGAAACACGAACCTTGACGAACAAGGCCGCTGCGCGGAGAAACAAGTTGAGCGCGGTACTACCAGGGACGTGGTGGGGATCGAACTCGGAACCACTCGTTTATGAAGCGAGCGCTGTATCACTACACCACTACCGCATTAAATTAATTACCGCATTAATTGAATAACTACTTCAAAATTTAGTTAAAATATATATTTTTGGGTCTAATCACAATTATTTTCATGCTGGTATTATATTCAAATTTGACTGCAAGTTTGAAATTTGTTTTAAAAATAATTTTTTTTTTATTTAATTGCATTTCTTTACAAATCTCAATGGTTATTAAAGTTACAAAAAGTAAAGGAATTACATTAATTTTAAATTGAAAAGTTTATATTTATATAGGATAGGCCTGTTAAGCACTTATTTGTGCGTGTTGTACGGGGTAGTTTAGTATAGTTAAAAACTTTCTCATAATAAGTACTGCTATATATCATTGAATTAGAATTAAACATTAAATATTCAGTTAATACAATTACAACTCTTTTGAGAACAAATAGCTATTTATTATTGCAAGAAATGGAATTAAAATGCACTACATTGCTAAAGTCATATCTCAATTAGACTCTTCTACGGCTAAACACATTTCTATCATAGTCTTGCAAAATTGAACTGCAGAACTTTCTTCAATTATCTCTAAACCATCTGATAAGTGTTTGACTGAGTCTTGTTTTCTTGTCTGGTGGAAAATTTCTAACTATCAGCCGATCAGTCTTCTATTTGTTATTAGCAAGGTCTTTAAGTCAAGAGCTGTTCAATAAATTTCTCACATCCCATCTGGAGTAAAACAACTTACATTCAGACAGTTACATTCAGACAGGTTTTTAACCCTCTTGCTCTATGTCTGACTTGCTAATTGCTAAGACTGAATGATTTTATGGTGCATTAGGTTGAGGCAGCGAGGTTAAGGCTTTTGCTATGGACATATCTAAAGCTTTCAACAAAGTTTGGGATGCTGGTCTTCTCTATAAGCTTGCTTATGGTGTATCTTGAAAAGTTTTTAAGATTATCAAATCATTTCTTTCTTTATGAAAGTCATCCTCAAAGGCCAACCCTCTTCTTCATTTCAAGTAACTTCTGAGGTACCTCAAGGTTTTCTCATTGGTTCTGTTTTGTTTTTATTTACATTAATGAGGAAGATTAGTCTTCCATTTACAGTGGCTGATTACATTTTACATTTGCTGATTATTCAACACAATTATCTTGACAAAAGTTCTTGGGTAATTCCATGTCAATTGAGCCAGAAAATTTCAAAAATGTCACCATACATCTCAGATTTTGCTGATTTTTATACAGTTGAGAGTACTTAGTAAAACAAAAAATCCTTGAAAATTTTAGCTTCTAGCTCCAAGAGGATCATGAAATATGATCATTTTACTTTTAACTGATCTTGGCCAGGCCCCTCTTGTCCCCTCAGAAATTTGACCTTTGTTTAAAGGTTCCAAGTCACATAGCTTTAAAAATATTTAATCTTTTGACTTAAAAATTTGTACCTGGCTATTTTCAGGGTTGAAGAATCCAATGAAATAATCAGAAATGTAAAAAAATATTTTTAAGTACCTGTAATTATCAATTTAAATAAATTTAGGCAATTTTCTATATACCTGATTTTGATGCTCAAGAAAGCCATGTGGCCTTGATGATATAAAAAAAAAAAATTGTACACATTATTCTATGTTTAATGATCTTTCAGAAAACACAAAAATTTTGATCTGCAAGTATATGGATTTCCATATATGGTTAACGGGGCACAGGCCCCACTATTTTGATAGCGGAACCTTGCCATACATTTTTCACTACCTTTCAGACTAGCTGGAACGATGAAAATTTTGGTATTTATGTAGTGTCAATAAATGTGCATTTTAAAATTAAAAAAGGGCCCAAGACACTAAGGGAGGGGGCTGGAGGGATGTGCCCCACTTTTTTGACCGGAATTTTGAGATAGATTTTTCAGTATCTTCCAGACAAGCGGGAGCTTTGAAACTTTTAGCATTTGTGTAGTCCTGATGAACATGCGTTAAAATTGTTTCAGGTCCGATGACCAGAAGGTCCATGGGGCTGGGGCACTGGGGACCATGCCCCAAAATTATTTTCTCAAAAAAATTTTTTTTTTTTTTTAAACACATTTAAGATAACTTTGAAACTATTGCCTTCAAAATTTTTTTTTATATTTTTATTTTCAACAACGTTAAACATATCTTTGATAACATTGCTTCGCAATTTTTTGTGATTTATATTTGTTCAATTTGGTTTTTGATTATTCTATGTTCAATGATCTTTCTTAAAATGTTTTAAGAAAGTTAATGTTTATAAGAATTTTGATTTGCATGTATAAGATTAAAAACAGTCTAAAATAATGGTTTTAACAGAATTTTATTTTGTATAATTTAAAATTTTAATTAAAAAAGAATAATATATTTTAATGCTAAAATGGTAAAAGCAAGTTGTTTAATTAACTTCCAAGAGAAAAAAACATCCTGTCATAACATTACATCGATAAAAAAGAACTTTATCAATTTTTCAAAATCATTTTTTTATTTGATATTTGCTAATTTTAAAATCCAAAGTTACCATTGGTGCAAAAGTCAATGCACATTGCACCCCGTTGCCCTCTATTTATTAAACAAAAATGACCAACTTGAAGAAAAATTGTTTTGCTTCATGTCAGAAGATAATGAGCATGACACTGGTTTTGTGTATGAAGCTCAAACACAAATAGTTAACTATTTAAAAGAATATCATCCTAAAATTTCAAAGATTCTTTATTTTTCTGATGGTTGTGCTGCACAGTATAAAAACCACAAAAACCTTTACAATATCTGTCTCCATAAAAATGATTTTGACATTGATGCAGAGTGGACATTTTTTGCTACAAGTCATGGTAAGTCATCATGTGATGGTATTGGTGGCATTGTAAAACAATTAACTACAAATGCAAGTCTACCAAGGCCCATAAATGACCAGAAATTGAATTGTAACAAAATGTTTGACTACTGTACTAACAATATTAAAGGGATTATTTTTTTCAAGATTAAAAAAGAAAGACTGACAGAATTGTGCACCACCTTGAAAACACATTTTGAGCTAAGTAGAACAATCCCTGGAACTAGGAGCTATCATCAATTTAAACCAGAATCTTTAGATACTATTAGCTTTTAACAAGTGAAGATGTTCATATAACAGGCATTTTTTGTTTTTCTGGTATTCAAAGTTCTCAAAATGATCAGAAAATTAACATTGATGCCTTGAAACTCTGCGAATTCATTATGTGTAAATATGATGCGTTTGATTGGATTGGTATGATCAATGAAATTGATAATATAAAGCAAGATGTTATGGTAACATTTATGCACCCGCACGGTCCTTTTAATAAACTTTTCTGGCCATCTAGAGTAGATGAGTGTTGGGTTCCAATTACCAACATAACTTGTATAATTGATGCACCTGTAACAACAAATGGACATTTGTATACTTTGATCGTCGATGCATCTAAGCTAATCTTAGCATTATATTGACAATTTCTTTTTTTTGTATTTTATTTTGTAAATAATGAAGTAAAACAGAACAAGCATAAAGCAATAAAATTTTTGAATACAATATTTTCAAAGTTATCTTAAAGTTAAGACACGTGTTTAAAAAAAAAAAAAATTTTTTTTTGAGAAAAAAAGTGGGGCATGGTTCCCAGTGCCCCAGCCCCATGGACCTTCTGGTCATCTGACCTGAAATAATTTTAATGCATGTTTATCAGGACTACATAAATGCTAAAAGTTTCAAAGCTCTAACTAGTCTGGAAGATACTGAAAAATCTATCTCAAAATTCCGGTCAAAAAAGTGGGGCACATCCCTCCAGCCCCCTCCCCTAGTGTCTTGGGCCCTTTTTTAATTTTAAAATGCACATTTATTGACACTACATAAATACCAAAATTTTCATCGTTCCAGCTAGTCTGAAAGGTAGTGAAAAATGTATGGCAAGGTTCCGCTATCAAAATAGTGGGGCCTGTGCCCCGTTAACCATGTATGGAAAACCATATACTTGCAGATCAAAATTTTTATGTTTTCTGAAAGATCATTAAACATAGAATAATGTGTACAATTTTTTTTTTTTATATCATCAAGGCCACATGGCTTTCTTGAGCATCAAAATCAGGTATATAGAAAATTGCCTAAATTTATTTAAATTGATAATTACAGGTACTTAAAAATATTTTTTTACATTTCTGATTATTTCATTGGATTCTTCAACCCTGAAAATAGCCAGGTACAAATTTTTAAGTCAAAAGACTAAATATTTTTAAAGCTATGTGACTTGGAACCTTTAAACAAAGGTCAAATTTCTGAGGGGACAAGAGGGGCCTGGCCAAGATCAGTTAAAAGTAAAATGATCATATTTCATGATCCTCTTGGAGCTAGAAGCTAAAATTTTCAAGGATTTTTTGTTTTACTAAGTACTCTCAACTGTATAAAAATCAGCAAAATCTGAGATGTATGGTGACATGACCTGGCTCAATTGACATGGAATTACCCTCTTCTCTTTTTGATCACTTACAACAAGCAGTCGATCTTGAATCTGATCTCACTTCTGTAACAGTTTGGGGCTTGCAGTGGCTTGTGAATTTTAATTCCAATAAAACTCAGTTATCTACTGCAAATAACTATCGCAATACTGTTGACATTCTTATATTGATAAATGGCAACCTTCTCACCGAGTCTTCTTTACATCTTCTTGGATTATTGTTCACTACTAACCTCTCATATAAACCATATGTACAAACGATTGCAATTATGTATAATATATGTACAATTAGTATCTGCTAAGTTTTTTTATCATGCTCACCATTTTCATTCTCCTAAATAAAAATTCATTTCATTTATCAAATCTCAGTCAGTCAAGTTAAGTTTTTTTTGTGGGCCTTTTTTGAAATGTTCTCAATATAGTTAAAAAGCTTTGGCTGAGTTGTCATAACCAAATATTAAACGCTGGTTAGATAAAGGGTGCAATCACACCGGCTTCCCGACCAAGCCTGGATCGGGGTGTGATTATCACTTGAATATCACTTGTTCACATTTACACAGATTCTTTAGTAGTTCTTTATTTAATAAACTTATACAAGTTTTTCTATATATAATTAAGTTGAAGAATTTGTTGGTATATACATTTAAGCTTTTTTTTAGAGAATATCTATTGGTTGGAATGGAAAATCCTCTTTTGGACATATCTGCAGTTTGTGATGATAAGTTTCTTTTAAAGTAAATAAAATTTAAAAGTTAACAATTTTTGAAGTAAATTTGATGATAAAGCTAATATACATATATATATATATATATATATATATATATATATATATATATATATATATATATATATATATATATATATATATATATATATATATATATATATATATATATATATATATATATATATATATATATATATATATATATATATATATAATATATATATATATATATATATATATATATATATATATATATATATATATATATATATATATGTATATATAATTACACATATTAGATGGACAAAATAGATACTGCCACTGGGAGTATCTATTTTGTCCATCTAATTTTTATTATTTCAAAAATATTCGTTGGGTTAGAGATTACAACATTATCACCTTGTTAAATCTTACAAATTTTAACTTTTAAAGTTTTAATAAATTGTTACTTTTGACATCAGTGATTAAATGGTTTCTTTTTTGTTCATATTTAAAAAATGATGTCTTTTGTTTCTATCAGAGCACATGTTCCTTTGCTTTTCTTTATTATTTTGTCTTTCTCCTCCTAACTTTTCTTTTAATTATTATTTTTTCTACTTTTATTATTCTTTTTTTTTCCCAATTTATATCTTTTTTGCAAATTGTTTTGTCAAGAGCTAATGCAGATTGTCAATGCTTTTTTTCTTGACTCCACTTCTGATGTTGATATATTCATGTATTTATCTACTTTTTTGTTTCACCTACATGTACTTTGGAGCAGTTGCTTCTTATTATGTAGGTTCAAGGCTTGTATTAAATTGTTTTGACTTATTTTTTAATGTTAAAAAAGATCTTAAAAATGTATTTTGTTTAAATATCACTCTGTATTCTTTTTTTTTTTTTTTTTTTTTTCAAAATATCTTTTCCAGTTTTGGTGAAAGACATGGTACCAATGGTAAAGAAACTACAAGAAAGTTATTGCACTCAATTGGATTTTTTTTATATTATATAATTTTTGTTGAAATTTATGCCCAATATTTTTTATTTGCGTTCCATTATGTTTATTGGATGAACACATCAACTAAAAAAATTATTTTGTTTTGTATATGAGATTTACTGCAAATTGAATAAGACCTTTGAATAAATATATTAAATATATTGGTTAAAATTTTTAAGGATTTTTATTTCAGGTGTTATTTGATTTAGACATCTGTTTTTTTTGATAAGTTGAAGGAGTTTTTTAACTGTGTGTGATGTGAAAATTATTATTCTTATAGGATGCAATTTTTTAGGTTTATGAGCTTTGATTACATCACGAGATCACTGTGATATTATAATTTTATATATTATAATGTTTCTAATTTACATGCAATCTTTACATTCATGTCTTTTGTAACATATTTGAAGTGTTTTAGTACTTATACAAGCATTTCAGCAAGTTGCTATGTTTTAGTTTTGGTGCAATAATTTGCGATAGTCTTTTTTCTACTCACAGAAACTCTCAAGCGTATAAAAGGTTTTCATTCGGTGGAAACATCATTATGTTGTGCTTTGGTAATTTTAGTTTTGAATCTTATTCAGCTTTGCCACAAGGTGAATGGAATGCAACCCTGCCAACAGCAATTTTATTACTTAATGCTTTTTCTCTGAAGATCTTCTGAACACAAAGTTGATATTTATGGTCTATGGCAGATTTTTTTTATCAACTAAATGTGTCTTTTTAATGGCAGAAATAATAATGGCTGCAGTTAACAGTGCTAGAAAGTATATTTTTACAGTTTTATGTTAATAGACTTAAGTTTATACTTTTTAATTGTTATTTAATAACAAGGAAAAAGTAAAATCTTATTAGTACTAGTTATTTTAATTTATTAAATATTAGTTAGTAGAAAATAAATACTAAGTGTTAGTTATATTTAGTTAGAGTTGCCTCAGTTAGAGGCAATAGAGTTAATAAACACGCTTGAACTTCACGAGTTTCTTCTGTGGCTTTGCTTTTACACCTATGCACTAATTCAACAAAGCTTCTTTTTTCTGAGCATATTTATTGAGTAGTGCAAAAATGCAATGGTTCTCATGAGAGTAGTAGAGTAGATCCTTATTGGATTGATGAAAAAAGATTTTGTAATCATTTTGATTAGGAAATTGCAGTTGCTCAAGAAGGAGAAATTATGGGGTAGAATAAGGCTTGACTTAAAACTGATGAGAAGAAATAAGACCTTAAGGCGTGCAGGATTTTACAAGATTTAGCATGCAGTTTACGTTATACTAGTGTTGTATACTTTTTATTAAATCTTTTATTTACATTTCCCTAAAAAATAAAATGTTACAATGCAGCAGGACGCGTGGAAAAGCAGATTACATGTTACCAGTAATCTTGACATTTTAATATTAGGTTTAATTTTACTATGTTATATTTATTCAAGTTTCTAAATTAAGTTTATTTTTTATTTTTTATTGACTTTCTAACATTGCTACCAAAAAAATTATTATAAATCAATAATTCTTAAAGGAGTTAATTTATTATAAATAGTTCGAAATTTGTTTATTATTTCAGGTATGATTTGAAATCTGATAGTGCTATTCTTGCTGATGAAAAACATCTACCATTGTAAGTATTTTTATAAGTTTAAAGTATTTTGACATTCTTTTTTGATATTTTCAAAAAAAAAAAATTTTTTTTCTACTTTATCTACACTTATAGTTTAAGTGTTTATGTTCTTTTGCAAATTGATTTTTAATTTCCTGGGTTAGTGCTTAAGTCACATTCATCACTGTTTAGTATTTGAGCAGGTATATTCATGTCACATTTTTTGCAATGCAGGTTTAAACAAAGAAAACCTAGCATCAATTACAGTTTTTTTACAAGCTAAAGGCTTTGTTTATGTCAAAAACTCTTGTACATTATTTTTTATCACAAATATTTTTTAAAATCCATTTTATTGTATTTATGTATATTAGGCAACCTGTTTTGCAATTTTAAGTACGGCTAAAGTAATAAAGTACGGCTAAAGTAACATTTGTAACACACTTTTTTGGTCATTCAAACATTTGTAACACACTTTTTTGGTCATTCAAACATGATCACTCTACCACTTAAATATGAAAAAATAATAAATTAAATAATATTATTTAATTTATTATTTTTTCATATTTAAGTGGTAGAGTGATCATGTTTGAATGACCAAAAAAGTGTGTTACAAATGTTTGAGCGATAATTACATCAAACTTTAGTATACAAATGCTTTTTACAAATAAAATAAATTCAGATAAGATTAAAAACAAAAAATTTTCAATTTTTATTTCAATTTTATTTTAGGATATTAATAAATATTGTTCAATAACTAAATTTTTTTTTTTTTTTTTTAAAGTTAGCTTTTTTTTACCGCAATTCTTTTTTTTTTTTTCCCTCCCTTTTCATTATTTCTTACTAAAAATTAAATTCCTTGTAAATGTGTTACAAATCTGCATCAAAAATTTGCACAAAATCTACCTTAAACGATGAAAATAAAAGTGCAAACACATATATTTTTTAATAAATGATACTTTAAAACTTGAAATCATCTTTGCTTTCACAAAAAAGTCGCTGGTAAAGTAATAAAATATGTTATATAAGGTTTTTATTTTTGCATTAAGTTATATTTTTTGATTTCTTACTCAATAACCTTAAAAAAATAAAAAATATAATTTGCTGATCTACAATTACAAGTTTACAAAAAGTAGTAATCATAAAAATTTGACATATTTTCATTTATACAAATTAACCACATATTTTCATATATACAAATATATTCATTTCTACAAATGTCGAGAAATTAGTTTTTGACTTAGGTAATTATTCTCTATCGGTTGGGAGGTCGTGATTTTAAGTACGCACGTAAGCTATTTATGCAATGCAAGCCACTAATTAGTGGTAGATTTGATAGATTACAGGACACTTAAATCTCAAAAAGGAGGTTTATATATGTGTCAATCCTTTGTTAGAATTAATTGATGATTTATGAAGTCCTAACAGCTCACCTTACAGTTGAATGGATAAATTTAGACCTAGTTTACTATTCCCGCTGAACGTACAAAAAAGCCCTAAACTAAGGGAATTCTAAGTTTAAAACCATCGGCAGGGGTTTAAGTTAACAACTTTAAAAAAAAAATTGCAAATCCTCATTATATCATACAAAAAAACTTTTAAGAAACAGTGTGCATAAAATAATTTTTTTTTTTGCGTGCGATTCAATAAATTTTTTTTTCATAAATTAAGTTATATTATAAAGTTAAAGAAATTACGAGTAGACTATAACATCCACTGATGACGCAAATGTCACGTTAAATATATTTACATAAGGGAGGTTTCATTATACATGCATGCGTTGCAGACTCCCTTAAATAAATACTAAGTTACGTTTTAGTTTAGTGACAGTTTTTATTCTTTACTAATGACTATGTATTTTTCTATATAAAATAAAACAAACTAGTATATAAAAACCTAGTATATTTCTATTCTCTCCAAATTGTTCAAAGTTCAAATATTTATTGTATTTTGAAGGACAAAAGAGTTGCAGATGCTTTTCGAATTAAAACTATTACACAAAAAAAGAAGACTTATGTTATTATAATCATATGTAATTTGTGTGATCTTTATCAAAATAAAATTATATCCAAAACCAATGGTTCCATAAGGGCAGCAGCCCATCGGTTTATAAATAGCACAAGTCATGTTTAAATATTTTAACATGTTAGTATATTTTATTTAAGTTGGTATTTAAATAAAAATAAACATTGTTCAATAAATAAATTAAATTTTTTCTTAACAAATATTCATATTTATTCACCTTTTTATTTTATTTTATTACTCTAAATAAAATTGGTTGCAAATGAAAAAAAAAGAGTTTCATAATTATACGTAGAATGAAAATACTTTTGAGTTTGTTCATAAGTTAAGGAACTTAATTTTTAATGAATAAATTTTTACGAATGTTTATTATATACAGATACGATTCAAATTATTAAATGTAATTTTTATAAATTATATTGTTTTTGTTGAGTGTTTTTTTAAGCTTGCATATATATATATATATATATATATATATATATATATATATATATATATATATATATATATATATATATATATATATATATATATATATATATATATATATATATATATATATATATATATATGTATGTATATATATATATATATATAATATATATAATATATATATAATCTTTGAATGTCATTTTCTTGTTATACGTTAAAATATGGTTAGAATTCAATAAATACGGCTGCGTATAAACTTTTTTTAAGTATATATATATTTTTTCTTTAATATATAATTATTTCGATATTTTGCTGATCTATTGTGATCAGCGTCATCAGCTATAATAAACAAAATAGTTACAAAATCGTTATAGTAAAAACAAACTGTTAAAAAGATAACATTACAAAGCCATAATATAATACAGAAAAAAACTTTTCAAACAACTGACGTCAGCAGATTTTATTAAAAAATGGCCCCCAGGTTTTGGTTGTTACGTTATCACTGTCATCTCGATTGAGAACCACGTCACCATTTCTCAACTCCTGTTGAACCCTAGCCTTGCTTATTTCGAGTGACTCTCTGATTTTCCGAGTTCGATATTCTGGGGCTACAGATAATGTTTTGGGGTGCAACCAATCAAACTTACCATGGCATGTTTTAGAATGCTTAGTTGCACCCAAACTGGACCATTTTCCTTTTAAGCTGTTTTTTTTTGGTGTTCAATACATCTCGATATCACCTTCTTTTTAGTTTCGCCAATGTATATCGAACCGCATGAACATTTTAGCTGGTATTTGCCAGGGTCTGTGTTTAGTGGTAGTTTAGTTTCAGGAACATTTGTTGTTGTTTTATTGAAGCAAAGCGAGCATGACAATCATCTACATATCTCTTGTAAGTTTTTGGTTCGGATGTATGAATAATTGCTATGTTAAGGGCTTTTCTTTCTATATTTTGTAAAAACGCTTCCGCCATAACAACCATTAAAGATTAACCTATAGGACCTGAATTAGGTATTATTTGGATATTGTTTTCATGTAAAAAATAGCATATACTTAATGAAAGTTCAATTAATTGATTTATGTCTGCAAGAGTAAGTTTAGTTCGAGTTTTTAAGTCATCAATGTCAGCGTTCAATATATCAATGATAACCGGAATTGCTTCGTCAATGGGTATGGATGGATATAAATTGACTATATCAAATGAAACTTGAACTTCTTTAGGATCTATTATCCATGGCTTAGCTTCGTTTACAAAACTATTAGAATTCATAAGTCTACTTTTATTTTTGTTCAGAGTTGGTTGAATAATTTTAACAAGATAATCAGATGTTCCATAAGGTGGTGTGTTAATTGTTGATACAACAGGGCGCATTGAGTAATCTTTTTCTGGTTTGTGAGCTTTAATCATTCCGTAAATCCTTGGTGAGTTACAATCTGATGGATACATTTTAAAGTATGTATTTGTGTCTAGTTTACCTTCTTTTCTTAATTTGCACAATTGTCTTTGAAATTTAGTATTCAATGTGGATGTTGGATCATAATCAATAGTTTTGCTATTTTTTATTTGTTCTTCTAATTTGAGAGATGCATCTTTTTGATTTAATAATGCGAAGCTTTTATCGAAAGGGTATATCTTAATGTTAGAATTGTTTTTTAATTTGTTTATGGAAAGACGTTGTTGCTTAGTTAAATTATCTTTTAATCTTAATTTTAGCGAATTTGTTAAAATTTGTGAACAGTTTTAGTCATAGAGTTTCTGCCTGTGTTGGTGTTTTAAGTTGTAAAGCGCAAGTTTCGATATTGTTATAAAATCCATATAAGGAATTTTTTTCGGCAGTGGTACAAAATTTGGACGTGGTTATCAATCGGGATGACGGTGATAACGTAACAACCAAAACCTGGGGGCCATTTTTTAATAAAATCTGCTGACGTCAGTTGTTTGAAAAGTTTTTTTCTGTATTATATTATGGCTTTGTAATGTTATCTTTTTAACGGTTTGTTTTTACTATAACGATTTTGTAAATATTTATTATACCTGATGACGCTGATCACAATAGATCAGCGAAATATCGAAATAATTATATATTAAAGAAAAAAAATATATATTTAAAAAAAGTTTATATGCAGCCGTATTTATTGAATTCTAACCATAATATATATGTATAATATATAATATATAATATATAATATATATATATATATATATATATATATATATATATATATATATATATATATATATATATATATATATATATATATATATTACTAAATAAGATTAAACTAAAATTAATATTAGAATAACTCTTGAAAACATAACAAACTTTTCTCAAATAACTAAAACAATGTTTTTACATTGTTTTAGTTATTTGAGTTGATTGTTAAATTAAACAAGTTTGCGGTTAATTATTTATGTTGTAATTGAAACACTTAACGTCTGTAAAAAAAATTTATGATGTCAAATATCCCATTAAGCATATAAATTTCATACTCTAAATTTAATATATATATAAAAAATTAATTGTCAGAAGCATCTTAATGATTTTAAATAGGTACATTCACATTAAGTATTTACACGAAAGATATAGTTTTATTTGTAAACATAAACTTAAGATTCCATTACTTATAAAATTCACAAGCAACAATATCAACTCGATATTCACATATATTGTTTTTTTCAACGAGTTGTTAATAGCTGGAACTATCTAATATAAAAAGCTGTAAATACAGAAAATATATTTCTTTAAAAATAAAGTCCTCCAATTTTGAAAAACACTGCTTCTATAAAGTAAATAGATAAAATCTTGAATGTGTATATTATTAACTATATTTGTTTGTTACTTATATTGTTTTTATACTTATTTAGGGGCAAAGTGTCCATTTTTTGGACCTGTATGTCCTATAGAACATGTAGATTTAATCTTGTTCTGATAAATTTTATTTAAATCTGTTTTACTTTCCTACATTTAATATAGTGTTTTTTAAAAAATATCAATTTAGTATAATTTGATATTTTTTCAAATGGTTTAAACTATTTGTTTAAACAATTTGGTTTAAACCTATCAACCCTGGTTGTTTCTCTATGAAGTCTTTATCTTCCAGCTGATGTCTATGTGCAATTTTTTAAGTTTAGAATTCATGTTTACTATTTAGAACATACACAATATACATACAATTTAGTAATTGTAAGCAATTACATACAAACAAATATTACAATGATAACAATAAGTTAATGCTGAAAGTCCACTGTTGTTTAAAAGGATTAACAGATAAACTTCTGTTATTTAGAATGGTTGCCCCCTCTGCTAGACATCGATTATGAATGCTTAGAAGAGCTAGGCTGGTTGACAATTCCAAGTGCAAATGCTGAGTTATTGAAAACAAATTTTTTAACACAATTTATTGTTTAGACATTTTAAAACATATTAAAATTTATAAAGAAAAAAAAATTATCGCAATAGTAAATATACCAGTCATAACAAAAATATTCCCATACACACAATTAATATCATTTTAGAAATCATTTGAAACCAAAGAAAAATAAATAAAGGAAACTGAAGTAGTAATGATGACTAAAATTAACAATTAATTTGATAACCCAAAAAAGAATGGAAATAACTGTTTAGTGTTGCTGAACATACCAACATAAACAAACAAATAAATGAAGAAAATGATAAAAAAAAACATTGAAACAATACTAAAAACAATTTTTTGATAAGAAATGCAAAAAGAATTATTTCACTAACAACAAAAACCAAAAGACCAGTATGACCACCTGACCTCGCCTTATTTAAATTGGTAAAGAAAAAAGTTCAAAATTTTATAATTTTAAATTCCAAAAATTTAAAGGATTATTTTAATTTCAAAAATATTTTTATTACCAAAAACAAAACTGCAGTTTAATTAAAGTGTTATTTTTTTTCATTTTTTATTTTATTTTATTTAGAATTTAAACCTTTTATTGTTTTTATTTTAATAATTGTATTTAGAAATAAGCGTTTGTTTTACTGCTTTTAATTTATTTATAATAGCAAATATATAAAAAAATAAAATAAGGTTTTTTTTTATTTAGAATTTAAATAAACGCTTGTTTTACTGTTTTTAATTTATATATAATAGCAAATGAAATTAGGTCTTAATATTCTGAGGTTGATAAAAAATTGCCAACTTCAGACACTGTCAGGTCGGCAGTTAGGTTAATTTTGAAACTGATTCCGAGGTTTAGATCTGCTATAAACAATAATTTTACAGGTTAGGCTTTTTTTACAAAAAATTTTTTACAGGTTAGAAGGATTAAGCCATTTCAAAGTTGTATAGTGCCTGGTTAAGCTAAAAATATATTTAATTTATATTAATAATTATTTCGGCTCTTTCAAGTATACTATTATATTATAATTAACATGTGGATATTCATATATGAATATGATCAAAAGATTGTTCAATTAAATCATAATGAATGATGATAAAATTTTGTAAAAAAAATTTGAACTTATTTCAAATTGATTTATTTATGCTCTTTTTGTATTTCAATAAAAAAAAGTAATTATTTCAGAAAAATTTTTATCCCACAGTCTAATGATAATATTTTTTGATATGATTCAAAACATTGAATGAACATTCACTGGAAGTCAATGATGGCAGCTGTATACTGCCAAAAACTCAGGCACTGAAATTTGCTTAACTCAAAATCATAATGCATGAGTATAAAAAACAAACATACTAAAATAAAATAATTTTGAAAGTAAAAAAGAAAAAAAATTAAAACAATTAGATAAAAAAATTTGGATAAAAATAGAAATTGAAAAGCTTTTAGTAGCTAAAGATTATCTAATAAAGTAAAGTATGATTTTTGCATATTAGAATAAATTATTTATATCTTTTTTTAAAGAAATAAATACTTTATTTTTTTAAAAAAAAGATAAAATTAAAATATAATCAAAAATGATGTGAAAATTTTAGGGGGAAAATTGTATATAAGAACAGATTTTTGGGCAATAATAAAAAAAGATAAATATAACTATTTGTATAAATTTTAATAAAAATATATATTCTGTTTTTACAATTAATAATTATTAATCATTCTGTTTTTATAATTAATAATAACTATTATTATGCTTTAATAATTAACATATTGCTTGCGGGTACATTTTGTACCTGCAAGCAATATGTTAATTATTAAAGCATAAGGCCATCCATACTAATCCATACTAATACGGGATAAGGTCTCAAGTAACAACCTTCCTAGTATGTGCCTTGTGCTCAACCAATAAATTGTCAGAAAATCTACTAGTACACATCCCGCAATGTGTCATTAATAATTAATAATTTTTCTGTTTTTATAATTAATAATAGTTAATAATTGATTTGTTTTGCTTTAGGTATAAAGATATGGTGGACAATTTAAATGTTGAATTTATATCAGGTGGAGCTGCATTAAATAGTATGCGTGTTGCACAGGTCTGTTTTAAAACCTTTTTTTTTGTGTGCATTATATTTTGTGAATTATGCAGATGATCTAAATTTTTTTTCATGTATTTATATGTATTGATATTTTAGCATTATTATTTTTTAATTGTTTTTAATGGCGAGACATAAAATTTAAAAAAATAAAATGACAGTCCTTTAATATTTTTAAAATTAAGCTTATTAGTGGAACAATTTGGACATAAAAGTGAATGAATAATATTTTGTAACACAGAAAGATAAATAAATACAAAATAACATATTTATTTATCTTTCTGGAAATATTGATTTGAATACTTAAATAAGACTTTAATTTACTGGAACAAGGAGGTTAATTTTTATTTGATTTCTTGCCGGATGCTCTCTTTATGGTATGGAACAACTCTATTTTCTCAGTTGTTTCTTTTTTGAAATTTTTTTAGTTGTTGTTGCTTTCTTCACTTTTTTGTTGTGTTTTTTTTCTTTTTCTGCTTTGCTAATTTTTATATCACTAAATAAACAGTTAAAATATTTCATTTTATTAAAAACACTTTAAGTTTCAAGTGTTAAAGTGAACACCTTTTGATCTTAAAGTTTTATGTTAATAAATGGTACAAGATGGTAAATTCATTGGTACAAAATGGTAAAATCAACGGTACAAGATGGTAAAATCAACGGTACAAGATGGTAAAATCAACGGTACAAGATGGTAAAATCAACGGTACAAGATCGTAAAATCAACAGTACAAGATGGTAAAATCAATGGTACAAGATGGTAAAATCAATACAATGATATCAATATCAAATAAAAGCGAACAAAATTTGGGAAAAAATGTATAGTCAGTTTTGATTGAATAATTTTGTTGATAATGTTTTGTGGTTTATATTGGAGTGTATTTTTTTTTAAAAAAAAAATTTAAAGTTCATGGTTTCATCATTGTGTGGTTTTTGTTTCCATAATGTCATTTTCTTATTTAAATAAACATTAAGGAAGAGCTGAAGCATTTTTTACTACCGGATGCACTTTGGTGGTAACCTGTTTTGCATATTAGAACTAAGTTTTTTGTGACACTATCAATAGGAGAATTACCATTTAAGGTTTACAAGCTGCTCTTATCTTTACCCGAATTTAGGTTATAATAATATTTAAGCTGTAACTGATAAACACTTAGACAGTTGTATCAATATCCAGCATAGCTACATTATTTAAAAAAGCCATTTGTCAAGTTTACTATTAAAAGAATTCACAGAAATAGTATAAACAACATCAGTAGGTAGTCAATTCCAATAAAATAAAGTACCATTTGTAAAAAATTAAAAAAAAAAGTCATTGTTTTGCAATTATATTTCATTTTACTCTCTCTGATTGATAACTTCTTATAAAACTTCATTGATTAAATTTACTTTCTTAATTTGATTGAATATCTTGTACATTTGAGTTGAATTGCCCCAAATCCATCTTACAACTAAAATAGCGAGTTTCAACTTAACTTTTTTTTGTAACTTTTTTAAAAATGGAAATATTAATCTTGTAGCATGATGCTTAACCTTTTCTGAAATATTTCTGGTCTATATGTTGCGGTTGTTTCATTTTTAGTAATACATTTTACATGGTAAAGTTAACTTTACCATGACTCTGGAGCCTCTCCTGGCCTAATATATGATCATTATTGAGTAGGATGAATCATTAGTAACTTTAATCCAACATTTCTAAAGAATGTCAATGATTAGTTGACAGAAATTTATTTTATCTATATATTAAATCACAATATTAAACTACATTTTTTGTTTGGTCCCTTGTGTAGTTCACTTCAACATCAGATGTTCAATATGGATATTTAAACATTCTACACAAGGCAGTTGTTAACAGGAAGAATTGAATTAGTGATCAGAAAATTTTGATTTTGGTTCCAATTTTGGCTGTAACTTTTGGTTTTTGACAAAACTAATATACTGTTCAGGCTTTACATTATTATTAGTTTTGGTCAAAATTAAAAAAGATGCAATTAAAATCAAAATAAATAAATTGTTTAAAAAAAAATTATTGAATGATTTTGCATTAACCTATTAAAATAATAAAAAATTGCTTATACAATGCTTTATTTCATTAAAAAAGTTGAAAATTTTTTCTTTTCAAATTTTTTAATGATATATTATTTTTTCTCACTGATAACACTGTTTTATTTTACTTTTTTTCACTAATAACACTGCAAAAAAAAATTTTCTCACTGGTAATACTGCGTTATTGTACTTTGGTACTAATTTTAACAGTTATGTAATCTGTAATAAAAACTTGTTTTTAAAAAGTTTATTATTAATTTGATTTAAATGGTTTTTTGAAAAGTTATAGAATTATTTTCATGTTATATATAAAAAAATCTATATTTTTTTTAATTGCTCAAAAAGTGATTTTAAACATAGAAATTGTTACTTATAATATTTACTAATAAATATACAATATATTACTAAATGTTTCCAAAATTTAAGCTGGATAACCTTTTTTACTTTAGTTATAAATAATTATTTATAAATAGTATATAAGTTAGTTACAATAGAAAGTTATTGTAACTAATTTATATACTGAAGAAGTATAAACCTATGATTTTAATGTGGTCTAGACTTGTAGTTTTAATGTGGTCTAGGCATATGATTTTAATGTGACAAATAACAAATTATGACATTGAATTAACACAAAATTATGACAGTGAATTATGACAAATACTACTTGATAATGTTCTTAAACAAGTCTTATTTTTTATCTTCATTCTTTTTTTTTTTTAATATTTAGTAAAATTTAAAAAAAATAAATTAATTCTTTTAAAGGCAAATGTTGTCAGTTTTTAAAATAATTTACTGGGTTCTTTAAAAGAATACTGGGTTCTTCAAATATTGTTAGTATTTGAAATTTTTAATGGATCTTTTTTAAAGCAAGTGTTATTACCTATTTTTATTAATTTTAGTGGATTCTTCAGAAACCAAATGTTGTCAGTTATTTTGGTTGTATTGGTATGTGTATATGTATTTTAAAATGATTTGTATTTTGTGTTAGAAAAAATTTTTTTATAAATTGTATTTCTGAGGGCAATACAGCTTTTTTTTATAGTAATTTAATAAATTTAAATTTTGTTTCAAAAATTATTACAAGTTGTTTCAAAAGCTAATAACCTTTTATCGGAATTACTAATATGGATAGTGTTAAAAATAAATGAAAATTGATTCTCATATTTTCTTTACATTAAGTTTTAAAAGAAATCTAAAATAAATAGGTTATTTTAAACACTTATAGTGTTTGAAAAGAAGTTGAAAAACAGTTTAAAACAGTTTGACTGAGTACTCTTAGTTAGGTATATTTTCAAGTAAATTTTACATACATAATTAATCAAGTAACAAATTTACTTACATATTTAAACAAGTAACTTTACGTACATATTTAAACAAGTAACAATACTTGTAATTAAACACATTTATTATGCCATATTGTACTGAAATATAGTCAAATTTGTATTTTAAAATAATATTGACATTTTGAAATTAAAAATAATATTAGCATACTTTATTCAAAAATAATATTGGATTATTTAAATTTAAGTACAATTTATGCATATTTATAATTCAATTGTTTTTTATATATTTTTGTTAAAAAATAAAAAACAAAATCTAATGTTAAAATTTTCTTTTTTTTAAGGTGATGATGATTATGGTAGAATATTAGTAAATAAAGCGCATGAGGCTGGTGTTAATATCCAGCCACAAATAAACAAGGAGTACAGCACAGGAACATGTGCAGTATTAATTACTGGAACAAAGCGTTCATTAGTTGCCAATCTTTCAGCTGCTAATCAGTTTAAAAGAACTCATTTTGACAACAAAGAAAACTGGGATCTAGTGGAAAAAGCAGAATATTTTTATATAGGGGTTTGTTATTAGTTTAATTTTTTTTAAATAAAATTAAATTAAAAAAAAAAAAAAATAATTTAAAATAATAACTTTGCTATATGATTTAGAAGTTTAGGAATTCTAAAATTCATAGAAAAAAAAAACAATGTTTAAACAATACTTTTTTTTACATCTAACTTTAGCAATTTAAAAAGTTTTTGTCTTTTGATAATATTAAATTAATTTAGTTTTATTTGAATATATTTTAAAACTTATTTTTATACTTTTATTATTTAGCATACGTAGCAGTTATACTATCTAATACACTATTTAATTACTTATTTAGCATACATAGCAGTTATACTATGTATATCTAATACACTATTTAATTACTTATTTAGCATACATAGCAGTTATACTATGTATATCTAATACACTATTTAATTACTTATTTAGCATACATAGCAGTTATACTATGTATATCTAATACACTATTTAATTACTTATTTATGCACTTACTTTTTAAAAAAAATACTACAAAACACTTTAAAAAATTTTTTTACTTTTGTAGAAACTGTTTTGAAACAAAAATACATTAATGGTGTCATTGTATTGTTTTTAAAATACTTAAATGTACTAGATTATCATGAATTATATCAACCAGCAAATTTTAATAATATAATTGCCATAAGTTTATTTCATTAAGATACAAAATTGTTTTAGAATATAACATTTTAGAGGTGTTGTAAGAATTAATTAATCAGATTTTAATTAAAGTATACTACTTGGTTATTAGGTTTAAAATTCAAAAATTAATAGCTATAAAATAGTCTTGGCCACACTTGTAAGAGTAAAAAAAAAAAAGATCATTTAATATAAAATCATCTCCACCATGTCACCCTTACATCTCAAAATTGCCTCGCTTTTACTTTATATGCAGTTTATCATAAATAAATGATAATATTGAAAATATTAATTAAAAATACATATTAACTTTTGAAATATTATCATTTAAAATAATACTAACAATAATAATCTGTAACAACAACAAAACAACTTTGACATAAATTTTCTTGATAATGGTTTTGGAGAATATCTTGAAATTCGGAACCCTAATTTTTTCTAAAACAAACTCATTGTTTTATTTCTTTTTATCTGGTAAATAAATAATAAATATATTAAGTATAGAAAAATGTGACATTAAAAAATTTCTCATCATTCCTTGCAACAAAATTAGATTTTCTTTAATTCAAAGATCTTTCTTGGGCACTGTGAGAAAGATCTTTTATGTGGGCTGTGAGAAAAATCTTTCTTGTGCACTGTGAGAAAAATTTTTCTTGTGCGTTGTGAAAAGGATCTTTCTTGTTCACTATGAGAAAGAATGATACGACAAACAAATTTAAAAGAAGAATGTAGTTCAATGAGATTCATATGTTGATATCATTAGTAATGGCAAATATTAAAATTAAAAAAAAAAAACATGTTGCAATCTTTCAATCTCAAAAATACACAAGGGAATAAAACAAAATAATCAAATAATATATATATATTTTCAGTTACTTACAAAAGCTTAATTAAACTTTTTTTTTCAGGCAATATATAGTTTTCACTTGACTTTAAAAGGCTTTTAAAAGAAAATAATATATACCTAACCTCATAAATTTTGCAGCTGGTGTTACAAAAAAAGCAGTAGAAGACTTCACAGGAGGAATAGGAATCAAAAAGTGAGAAAAAGTATAACTTTAAATACATTTAAAGAATTAATTGCAATTAAACAAACTAGATTAAAAATTCTTATGAAACACAGCAAAATGTCTGCAGCAAAAAAAATGTTAGAGGATACTATAGACAGAATTGCAAAAATGGTTTTATCATCATATAATATTGAAAAAATAATTTATTGAAAAAAACAGTAGAAACAAGCAGTACCATTTTTAACAATAACATAAAAAAAGATAATCTATTTTAATATATGAAATCTAAAATGTATTTAGACAAAATCGCCATCAAGTTCAAATATTAATACATACAGAATCTTTAACACATAAAAAGATGTTACTTTAAATTGTTTGAGCTTCAATAAAACTTAAACATAAGCAATTTTATCATTACCAGGTTAAAAAATTTGAAATCTTACTAGAAATAGTCAAATTAGTGATCTTATATAAATAAGATCACTAATTTGACTATTTCTATTTAGTGATTAACTTTAAGTAACGAGTTTTCAAGAATGATGGAAAAAAAGATTTTGTTAGTATTAGGAAAACAGACATGTTCAAAAAACGTTATGATGAATTACAACTGTTGCATCAGGTTTTCACAATGTGTGTGTGTATCTTCACTAAAATACAAATATAAACCTAAACCTTAGATTTAGGTTTAAAAAACTTCTAAACCCAAAAATTTGACACTGATTTGTAACAACAAAAAAATAATGTATAAAATTGTTTTTTTCTTTATTTTAAAACAATTTTTTTTTCTTCTCTTATTTTTTAAAACTTGGGGATTGAATAAGGGAGTAACTCCTTTTAAGTGTATAAAACCTAAACCATTCACTAAACAATCGCTTTAAAAATAATTCACATAATTTATGCTTGAAAATTTATTAAAAGTTGTTGAGTACATAGTTCGAGTATTAGTTCAAGTACATATGTATACATACATATGTATGTATACATATGTATGTATGTATACATACATATGTATGTATGGGACACAGCAAATAATAAAAAAGAAACTTTTAATGAGATGCATTGAACATCAAAAAAATTCACATATTTAAAAGGTAAATGGAATGCATCTGGAGCTACTGAACATACTAGAGAATGTAATGGATGTTTGATTGGCCACATCCCAAAACTCTAGCAATAAATTAGAATAATGCAGAGGCAAAGTTAGTTTCTATGCAGCTGCTTTTTTATGCTTTATATTTTAGTATATATATATATATATATATATATATATATATATATATATATATATATATATATATATATATATATATATATATATATATATATATATATATATATATATATATATATATATATATATATATATATATATACAGTCTTTCACAGCAAGACAGGCAAATCAAATTTTGCTTTGATGATTTGACCGTGGCTATTTCAAAAAACATTAAACAAAAAAGTATAATTGAGATTTGTATATAATTTTTTTAAATTTATATTATATTAATTGTTTAAGTATGCATTTTTTATAATAAATGTTATTAAAAAAAAATTGTTTTGTTTTTATAAACAATGACATACGACAACGAAAGTCTCTTTAACGAATTTTAATATAAGAATAATTAAAGTTAATACATTTTAAAAGATAAACAAAATTTCTTTAAAAAAAAAGACAAATGTTTTAGAAAGCTGTTACAATTAAATAAATACTTTTATATTATTGAGACTTTTTATAAAAATTCATTAGAAGTGTTTTGTTACCTCATTTTTAATGAGGTAACAAAACACTTCTAATGAATTTTTATAAAAAGTATTAATAAACTGTTTTTTTTACTTATATAATTATGTATTTTTTATGTATAAATGGTAATCTTTTAGAACAGTAAAAAATGTTAAAAACAAGAATGAAATGGTTTTTTAATGTGTAAATTAATTAAACTAAGCATTTAGTTTGATGAGTTTTGTTTTAGTTGGGTTATTACTTAACTTTTGGGTTAAACTTAACTAAAGCAAAAACACAAATATATATATATATATATATATATATATATATATATATATATATATATATATATATATATATATATATATATATATATGTATATATATATATATATATATATATATATATATATATATATATATATATATATATATATATATGTATATATATATATATATATGTATATATATATATATATATATATGTATATATATATATATATATATATATATATATATATATATATATATATATATATATATATATATATATATATATTTAAAGAATTTAAAATGTATTCTACAAAAAGAGTGCTCAATAATCTTAAAAGAACAGAGCAATTACAAATTAGTAGAAAATCACTTAGCAAAATTTTTTCTCATTTAACACTGTGTTTCATCAATTAAGACTCATCAGAAATTTCTGATGAGTCTTAATTGATGAAACACAGTGTTAAATGAGAAAAAGTTTTGCTAAGTGATTTTCTACTAACTTATATATATATATATATATATATATATATATATATATATATATATATATATTTTTTTTTTTTTTTTTTTTTTTTTTTTTTTTCAAATAGGGTTTCTTCTTAACAGTTTCACCTGAATCTATTTTAGAAATAGCAAATTATGCTTGCGATAAAAACAAGGTATCTTTTATTTTTTGTTTGTTGTAAATATATGATTTCATATTAAGAACAAAATGGATTAAAAGTTTATATGTATCTAAGTTAGAGTTGTAAACATAGTCGACTTCCAGATTGTTCTACAGAACAATAAAATAAAAAGGTTACTTGTAGAGGTGGCTTGCGACTTATGTTCTTGGTCATGTTAAAACATTTATCTTATGTTGCACTTGGCTGTCTTGCTGGATAAATATTTTATTAAATATTTTGAAAAATAGTTAAAAAGTTTTAAAATTATTTAGCTAATTGTTCTTTTATAATTTTATATTATGAGGGTTTGTTGAAAACTTTGTTACTCTTTTATAATTTTATTATATATTATGAGGGTTTGTTTAAAACTTCGTTACTCTTTTAAAAATTTTATAATAAACTTGAATGCTAAACTTAAATTAATAAAAGTTAGGAAGTTCCAAAAGTAAAATTTTAATATAAATTAATTAATTTTTGTTGAAAATTTAGTTGACATATTTTGCTTATAATACTATGACAATGTGGTGCAGTATTTAAGGTGTTGTCAGTATTTATGGTTCAAAAACATTTTTTTTAGAATTTTAAAAACAGTCTTTTTTTGTGTTGCATTTTATCAGATCTTCATCAAAAAATCAGTTCTTAGATTGAGTGTTTTCATTTTTTAAATGAAAAAACTAAAATGTAATTAAAATGTAATTAAAATGTATTTAAAATGTAACTAAGGGATTATTAAAACTAAGATTAATAGATCAGTAAGAATTATGATGTAGCAATGAATTGAGGTTAAAGAAGGTTAATGAGTCAATAGAGTAATGTTAATATCAACAAAACTGATAACCTGTAGCAAAGTAAAATCAGCTATTAAGTGGGCTTAGTAAAGTAGGGCTGTTAGTCCCCCTGGTGTATTGGCTGAAATGTTAAAAACTTTGGGGAATTTAGATGTTCAGTGTGTTTCAGATCTTTGCAAGGCAGTTTTACATGTAAATTCCTAAATGGTTGCAGGAAAGGTTGGGTGAAAAGGCAGAGATGCCACACTAGAATATGGTTTATATCTAGCAATAAAGTTGCTTGATCAATTAATTATAGATTTTAGAAAGATATTGCCAAAAAAAAGAAAAGAAAAAGCAACTATCAAAAAAGATCTGCAGATCTTCAAAGTGCATAAATACGCTTTTGACTGAGTACAAAGAAAATCGTATGATGAGCTCTAAGTTTTTGATATTGAAGAATGTTTTATAACAGTTATCATGTTTATGTATGACATAACTGTTACAATGAAGTAATGATGCTTTAGTGTCATTTATAATCACATATTTAACTGAAATCTGTGACCTAATTGCAAATCAATTTTTTAAGAGTATGAAGCGATTACAAAAGTTGTGAGTACAAGCTAAAATCATATGCCTATTCTTTGCGTGAATATTTCTAATTAAAAATTGTCTAAAGAGTTTCCAATCTGAAAACTAGTAAATGAATAGGGACCTGGCCCTGCCTAATTGTGGGACTAAACCCTGCTCTAGCAAAGTTAGAAGATTTAGTTGGAGTTAATAGCCTTGATAGGAAAAAATTATACTACATTATATATTACAAATTTATCCATGTATTTACTATTTATTTAGTACTGGCATATAATATAGATATATATGGATACAAACCTGTTTGCTATTTATTTACAAGCTGGCAAACAATACATATCTATATAAACTTTAGAATTTATATGGCATAGTATTTGTCATGAAAAAAGATACTGATTCGATGTATGTATGGTGTGGCTCTAACAGGACAAGAAAAGAAGCCACGATTTTAGACAGAGATTAGGAATAGTGAGTGTATGGGACAAGGTTAGTCAGAGAAGATTAAGGTGATTTGGGTATGTTGAGCAATAAGGAGATGATTTAGGTATTAGTAAATAGAGTATTAGTTACTTCAAGAGATAAAGGTAGAGGTTGAAGTAAAAAAATCTGGAGTGAGTGCATTACATACGCTATGAACAAGTTTCAGTTAAGGAAAGAATGTTTATGATGATGATGATGATGATGATGATGATGATGATGATGATGATGATGATGATGATGATGATGATGATGATGATGATGATGATGATGATGATGATGATGATGATGATGATGATGATGATGATGATGATGATATAAATCTATATTTTATTAAACTTTATTATAGGTTATTTTATTATAATTCTTTCATTCAAATTGTTATAATTAATTTTTGATTCTTATTTAGTGTGTAATATTAAATCTATCAGCAGACTTTATATGTCAATTTTTTGGAGAGGCATTACAAAAATGTTTGCCATACGTGGATGTCTTGTTTGGAAATGATTCAGTAAAATACTTTTCTTTTTTTTTAATTTGAGAATTAAAATTATTTATGATTTACTAAAAAAAAAACTATTTTTTTTTAGGAAGCAATCTCATTCTCTAAGTTGCAAAATTTCAATGTAAGTTTTTTGCTTATGATTATTTACAATATATTTTCAATAATTTTTATATAAATGATTAAATTTTAATAATTTTTTTTAAATATAATTTTGCTTTTAATTGCTGAATAGAAAAATCAGTTTATTATCCAGATTTTAATTTAAAAAAATAACAAATTAGGCATTTTGTAAAAGTTTGTTTTTTAATATTTAATTATTATTATTTTGTCCAGAGAATAATTATATATATATAAAAAAAATTATTTTTTGTAGGTTTTCAAATTACTTAAAATTATTTTCTAATGTTTATTAATATGTCGCAAACAATTTTTTGTTTTACAATTATCTTATGTGAATTGTAAGTAAACATTAACAAAATTTTGAACGTTAAAAATTTTTAAACATTTTTATAATTTTTTAAAGTTCTGATGTTATACAATCTAAATTTATGTAATAGAATATTTTTATTAGACTGAAGATGTCAAAGAAATTGCTTTAAAAACTGCAGCTCTTGGAAAAATAAATCAAAGCCGCTCAAGAATAGTTGTTTTTACTTGTGGCGCCAAACCTACTATTGTTGCATATGGTAATAAAATATATATAGTGTTAGGTGTGTGAAAAAATACACATAGTATTGGGTGTGTGCAAAATTATACCTAGTGTTGGGTGTGTGGAAAAATAGACTCTTTTAGAGTTTTAAACATTTTTGTAATTATAGTAAGAGTTAACACTATATTTATTCATTATTTCATTTGCTATGACTGTTTTCCAAGCATAAAACAAATTTTTGGACATGCACACAAAATGTTTAAAATTCTCAATGACAATGTGTTCTCCATGATATGTGATATCAATTCTCCCCTCCCCTCCTACTATAATGGAAAGATTATCTTTTTCAGATGAAGTTCGTGTTTTGAAGTTGGTATTGACATTTATTTTTAGTTTTATTTTAACAATTAGTTAAGCCATTCTTTCTTTTGTGGGTATCTACTTCTAATCACCTTTTGGATAGCAAAAAAGTAAATATGTCTAAATGTTGATTCTGCTAATTCAGAGTCAAATTATGATGAGGGAACCTAGTTTGGAGCAATAACCAAGCTAATTCAGATAATACAAAATAGAGGTATGGTAACATTCAAAAGTAACTTGCTAAGCTGAGAATAACCAAGCAATTTGCTTGGTTATTCTCAATTAGCTAATATTCAACTTTAGTTGATATCTAAAACTGTGTTGATACATTAACTTGTATTTATTTTTAATAAAACTATTGAACTACTCTGATGCTGTAGCATGTGGCACAGTGGCCTGAGCTATTGCATCACTAACATTTTAAGCGGCTTCTTTAGCAGAATGGCCATTTAGGTTTTCATATAGCTGACCATACATAATATGCTCTTTGTATATTTTTTAGATGTTCTTTTGATACTGCAATTTTCAAAAAACTTTAAAGCATTAAATAAAAACTTGAAAACTTGAAAAAACATATCTATATTATTTAAAAACTTTGTAATATAAAATTGCCCAATGGTCACACACAAGCAGTGAACACCTGGAGGAAAAATAAAGTACATTAGAATAGAGGAGAATAATTTTTCGAACAAAGCATGTTTTGATAGTTATCAACACAAAAATAAAGATTAATAGAATAATATTTAAAAATATAGTAATACAAAAATAAGACACCCAGTACACCCAAATAATACTTACAATAACAATAAAAATAAAACGTTATATAAACACTTAAAATGACCCAAGATATAGAACGAATATACCACCAAACAAAAAACTTACAAAATAGAATATTGACTGTAAAATAAAAAGTATGCATACAACAATCTAAGGCCTAAGGATGGAAAAAAGAAAACATTAATGCTAATGTGTAAACATAATTTATGTAATGGTTAAGTAATAAACATCTCCTCAGAGTTGCACCTAATATTACATGCATTTTGATGAAGATCAGCCCTAATAACCAGTTTATCCTGTCAGATAAACAACATCGTCTCTTATGCTTTACCCCATGACTTTTAAATATATCTATACATGTTTACGCAAACATATCTATACATGTTTACGCAAAGATATCTATACATGTTTACGCAAGCATATTGATATATGTTTACGCAAACATATCTATATATGTTTATGCCAACATATCTAAATATGTTTACGCCAACATATCTATATATGTTTACGCCAACATATCTATATATGTTTATGCAAACGTATCTATATATGTTTATGCAAACGTATCTATATATGTTTACGTAAACATATCTATATATGTATTTTGTAATAGTATTTTTCAAGAGAGAAATGACGATCTGATGGATGTTTGGACTCAAACAAGACAAGAAAAGAAGCCATCTTAGAGTTTAGGAATAGTGGTGTTACAAGGTTTGTCAGTCAAGGTGTTTGACCAATGAGGTTGCAGATGATTTGGGTATCAGCATGTAGAGTGCTTTATAAAGTGAAATATATAGAGTGATGATGATGATGATGATGATGATGATGATGATGATGATGATGATGATGATGATGATGATGATGATGATGATGATGATGATGATGATGATGATGATGATGATGATGATGATGATGATGATGATGATGATGATGATGATGATGATGATGATGATGATGATGATGATGATGATGATGATGATGATGATGATGATGATGATGATGATGATGATGATGCATTTGTTGCTTTTGTTACATTTTGTTTATGAAGCTACATCAATAACTGATAAGTTCACAATTAAAAAGATGTTTAAAATCATAGGTTTAAAAACAAAGCATGAGAATATGTACTCTCTCTTGTTTTATAATTTTAGCAATTCTGTTTTCATTTCACTTTTTTTTTAATCTATACTTTTAATGTAGGATTTAAGTTTTTTAAAACAACAAGAAATTTTATAGTAAAGATTAAACAAATGTGTCGTGAGGGGGTAATGTTGGTCTAATGTGGAATCTGGGTTTAACTGATATTTATAAGTTATTTAGATAATGGTTTTATGGAAAAGAGTTTTTATTTTTAGCATTTTGTTATAATATGCGGTAGTGGTGTAGTGGTAAGAGCGCTCTCTTTGTAAGCGAGAGGTTCGGAGTTCGACTCCCACCATGTCCCTGGAAGTACCGCGCTCAACTTAATTTCTCCGCGCAGCGGCCTTGCTTGTCAAGGTTCGTGTTTCGGAGTTAAAGAGTTGAGAGAGGGTTATTCCACGATTAACAATAAAAAAATAATAATAATAATAAAAAAAAACAAAAAAAATTAGTTGCCTCCTCGACTGTAGTGGCCCCCTCAGGCCTTAGGGAGGTGAATAATTAAAAAAAAGTATGTTATATTACTATGTATTAAGCTATAAGGTAGCTTTAAGACAATAATGCACATGGTTTGTTTAAAATTTGAAATATAGTTAGGTAGGATAATGTGGGTCTAAAGCATTAAAATAATGAGATATGTAAAATATTAACATATCTCATTAATTTAATAACGTTATTATAAATAATATTATAAACCTCAAGGTATCATCATATATTGTATAATTTTGTTCAACATCTATGTTTGAAGTTTTTATAACTTTAGAAATTTGTGCGGTATATTTGAATAAAACAATATGTTCATATAACTGTTATATTTTGTTTTGTAATATATTATGATTTATGCAAATTTGTTTCACTTATTTAATTTTTTTGTTTTTATAAACATTGTTTTAAAAAGTATTTTTTTAAAAAACAAGAAGTTACAATAAAAAATAAAAATTATAATAGTATATTAGTAAAAAAGCCTATGTTAATAAAGAATGTTTTATGCTTATAAAGAACGTTTTTTGCTTATAAAAAACGTTTTATGCTTATAAAGAATGTTTTATGCTTATAAAGAATGTTTTATGCTTATAAAGAATATTTTGTACCCAAGGTAACATTAAGATAGAGAATTAAAAAAAAATTGCTTCAATGCAAACCAGTGTGAAGGTCAAAAAAGATGTTGCTGCAGCTCAGTATTGTCAAAGGTCTTTTGATCTCTTAACATTTGTAATCTGGTAGCTCAATTTTGCACAATAATGAAGATAAAAACTCGTTTTTTGTTTTTAAACATCTTTGTTTCCAATAAGGCTGCAAGCAACCACTAATTAGAGTTGAAAGTTACTAGAAGAGAAAAGATGAAGATTGTAGAGCTAGATAGCGATTGACAGATCACTTAAAAGATTGCAGATTATATGAATCAGGAAAGCAAGATGAAGGAAGCGAATTCCAAAGAACTGATGTTCGAGGGAAAAAACTAGACGAATAAGAGATTTTGGAGCACTTAGGAACAGTAACAAAAAAGGATGAGACTTAATTGAATGACGAGTAACACGAGAATGATATTTAGTAGATGGCACAAGAGACGCTAGCTCTTTCAAGCAGTGCCCATTATAGTATTTGTAGAAAAGAGAAAGAGAAGCGACATTACGACGATGTGATAATGGTTAAAGAGCCCCATGATGTAGCAGAAGTGAGATCCTTTTCAAGCTCAAATGCCCCCTCTAAGCTTTCAAAGAGTGTTGGCTTCTTATCATGACAAGAATAAATAGTAGTGTCATCAGCGAACAATGTCACCTTAGATGTGAGAATATCTGGAAGATTGTTAATGTAAATTAAAAAGAGTATAGGGCCAAGGATTGAACCTTGAGGAACCCCTGAAGTTACAGAATAAGAAGAAGAGTGCTGTCCATCAAGAACAACTTTTATACTACGATTGGAAAGGAAGGATTCAATAATCTTAAAGATGTTACCAGATACCCTGTAAGAAGAAAGCTTATAGAGAAAACCAGTATGCCAAAATTTATCAAAAGCTTTAAAAATATCAAGAGTGATTGCCTTACCCTCTCCACCTCTATCTAATGCACTATAAAACCTATGTATTATTACTGTTAGCAAATCAGCTGTTTTAAAAATGGAGTTTCTAAAAAACAGATAACTTCTTTTAAAAAATCTTGATAAACTGCAGTTATGTAAACCTGAAATACACTGTCGAATCTAAAAGTTTAACACAAGAATTTTTCTATAACTTTTTAATATTATTGATATAATTGATAATCATAACATTGTACCATGTAGCATATACAACCTTGATACAACTGGGCTCTCTACAAATCACTTAATGAAAAAAATATTTTATCATCAAAAAAGTGAAGATGCATACAAAATCAAAAGAAGCAACTGCTTTTTCTGGTAAAACTATAAACACTATTGTTGTGTGTGTCTGCAAATGGCTGATATCTACTACCATTTTTTTTTCTAAAGAGAAAAGTTTACCTGCGTTCTAAGTGGATAAAAAACGGACCACTTAAATATGCTTTTCAGGCAACAGCAAGTGGATAGACGCAAAACTATCTGTTTGAAGACTGGTATTGAAAAAATAAATACATCTTTCAGGTTTGTTGAGCAGTTTATGCAATTGTTGCCCAAAATAAAAGAGTCAGTTATGGTTATCATAGTCATTTAACATTTTAAAAAAACCATTAAAGCAACTATGGAAAACTTTAAAAGCAACTATGGACAACCATCAAAGCAACCAAGGACAACCATAAAAACAATCATATCCACATTATTTGTCTGTACATAATGTGGATATGGTTGTATAGTTGTAATGCACATAAGCAGTTTTATGTAGCATAAAATTGCTCGTGTGTATTACAACTGTTACATCTGTCTGTCTATAGGCTATTAAAGAATGAGTGGAAAACAGTTTCGAAGCAAAAAAAGCACAAAACAAGATAAGCTTTCACATTAAAAAATGGTCTCAGACTCTCCATAAAATGCTATTGCAAGATTTTGTGGTACAGGCATCTTGATAGAATTAAGAGTAATAGGCATTGATTTTTAAATCAATTGCTCAAGTCCTAAACCTCCAAGATTACAAAGGCCAGGATCTACTTGTGAAAAGCTTTTAAATGTTTATTTTAAAACATTAGTTTTAAATGTTAATTTTAAAACATTAGTTTTAAATGTTAATTTTAAAACATTAGTTTTAAATGTTAATTTTAAAACATTAGTTTTAAATGTTTATTTTAAAACATTAGTTTTAAATGTTTATTTTAAAACATTAGTTTTAAATGTTTATTTTAAAACATTAGTTTTAAATGTTAATTTTAAAACATTAGTTTTAAATGTTAATTTTAAAACATTCGTTTTAAATGTTTATTTTAAAACATTAGTTTTAAATGTTTATTTTAAAACATTAGTTTTAAATGTTTATTTTAAAACATTAGTTTTAAATGTTTATTTTAAAACATTAGTTTTAAATGTTCTATAGCTCTTTTTACTTTTACTTTTCAAAACTTTTATTTTTTGTACTGCAGTATGTACTGCATATGTATGCAATTTCTTTTTCAATTAAAAGTATATTAAAAAATTTTAAATTCAAATTCTTGTATATATATATATATATATTCATAAACAACAGTAAACCAGAAGTATCCACACTTTTAAATTGACCCATATTTCCCCAGTAAGTTGGGTAATGGGGTTCTATGTAGACAGCTTCAAATAAAGGCTCCCTTAACTCTTTAAGAATATATTAATTAGGATTTTTTTCTTAATTTTGTCTTAAATTTAACAAGGTTTATTTTTTGTGTTAAGTGAGAGTGTTACAATTAAAGTTACAAAAGAAAAAATGAGTTGCCTTCTTGGCTGTATTGACCTTACATAGAACCTTATATGGAACCATGGGGAGTGGAGTTAAATAAATAAAATTTGTGAATAATAAATATTAAATTTGTAAATAGACGGAAAAGTATCAGAATATCATGTTACTGAGATAAAGCAAGAGGAAATTGTTGATACGAATGGTGCTGGGGACTCATTTGTTGGAGGTAATTTTTTTTTTTTAATATTTGTAATGTAACCATTCCAAGGTTTTAAAAGGTATAACTTTTATGATTTTTTAAACTTCCAAGGTTTTAAAAGATATAACTTTTATGTTTTTTAAACTTCCTCAATCAGTTGGTTTTTTTAAAAATAGGTTGTATTATAATTAGGGATTGTAATACTGGTTTACTGGTAAATCAAATTAAAATATATGTATTTTTTTAATACTGGTAATTAAGTTGGTCATTAACAGTAAGATAAAAAGTTATTATAAAAACCTGAGAAACTGCAATTATCCACCAAATAAGAATCTACACTTATAGATAGAGTTCACCACAGACTTATTTTTTAAGTAAAGAAAATGGAAGGGCAGGTAATTGCAAGAAATATTTCAAAAGTTCTGGCAAGAGTATATATATTATGCATGTGCACCTTCAAACACAGCACAAAACTTTTAAACTAATTGGAATGTAGATTTTTTAACTTTGTAATGTAACCAAGGTTGTAAAAGGTACTTTAATTTCTCTTTAAACTTTTTAAAGAGAATCCAAATAAAACTAGAACAATAAGTACATCAATTTTAAAATATTTTACAAAATCAGTTGATAATTTCTTTGATGCAGTTGTTGCGCCATTAACTGCCAATGATGCTTTTACTGTTTGTTAAGCATTGAACGTCTTATGATTTAAGGGGCAGTTAATGCGCAACAACTAAGGAAAAGGTATAGAAAAGTTCAGTTCGGAATAGACTTACAAAGACTCTTATTTTTACGGGTCCGAACTCAGCTAGTTATTATTATAATGATTCATTTCTAACAAGACTGCAAGCAACAACTATTAAGTTGGGAATTACTAGAAAACAAAGAATAGAGTTAAAGTACAAGGAAATGGACGACGAAAAACTTGTTGTCAGTTGTATTAGTCAGGAAAACATAAAGATGGGAGAGAGTTCTTAAGGGTTAAAGTGCGGGGAAAAAACTAGGCGAATAAAAGTTTTTAAAGCATGCAAGGACAGATACAATAAAAAAGAAATTTTGCTGAATAATGAGTCAAGTAAGAATGAGTTTTGTCTGATTAGAGAAGATAACTACTTTGACCAGCAACCATAATAGTATTTGTAGAAAAGAGAAAGAGATGCAATTTTACGAAGATATGAGAGAGGCTCAAGTTTGGCGGATAAAGTCCATCCAACAGTTCAACATGTTTACAATGCATTTTTGAATGTTGAATAGAAGAGAAACAACATCATTAGAAAAACCAGCCTAAATATGCAACAGTATTCCATACAGGGGTGAATAAAAGATTTGTAGGAGTAGAGAATGGAATCAGTACTAAAAAAATGTCCAGCATGATAAAGAAAAGCAGCTTTAGCAGATGCTAATTTAGCAATCGACTGTATACAAGGTTTCCATGAGAGATCAATAGTGAACAATAATCCAAGAAGACGTAAAGACGTTTTCATTCATCAATATAGGAACATTGGATGTAAAGTTGTCAAGATAAAAAATGGAACCAAAAATAGAACCTTGAGGTACCCTAAAAGTTACTGGTAATGAAGAAGAGTTGGCCTTTGACGGTGACTTTATTAAAGTGGATTCAGAAAGCAATAGTTTGATAATTTCAAAAACTTATGGAGTAGATAAGTATGCCAAACTTTGTCGAAAGCTTTAGATATGTCAAGAGCAATACCTCTAGCCTTGCTGATGGAGGCATCCACTGCATGGTAAAATCTTTCAGTTGCGGGAATTATCAAGTCAGGCATAGAGCGAGTTAATCAAAAACCATATTGATCGTCTGATAGTATGTTATTTGACTTAGGTGGGATGTTAGAAGTTTGTTGATCGAAGACTTTTTATTAACAGATAGAACAGGTTTGCATCTACGCCTGCCTAATTGATAAAGAAGGGGTGCGAGGCTGTTCTGCAGAATTATTCTGCTTACCCATAAAGTCTTTACCTAAGAGACTTTCTATATGACAGTAGCTGGTTAACATCTGCCCAAAACCCAAAAATAGTATTTTTTTATTAAGACACCATCTTTAGGCTTTACATTATATTTTAACATACAGGTACAATATATTTATAGTTATAATAATTTCTACGTATATTTTCGTTTTTTGTTTTTATTTAAATAAAGTGATTTATTTATTAAGTTATAAAACATATTTTGATTCTACGGTTTGACTTTAGACTTTGTTACTCCCACCTGTTCATTTCTCCCTACTCTTATAAACACTACTCTTATAAATTTAACGCAAACATAACTAGAATTTGAATTACAACTAAAATTAAATTAAATTTACATTTATTAATAATCTTTTCTTTTTTTTTCCAGGTTTTCTTAGCCAATTCATTCAGAGAAAGTGCATATCTCGATGCGTGCAAGTTGGTCATTACGCCGCAAATTACATCATTCAACAGTCAGGTGTTTCTCTTAAGAGTCCACCCGTAGTACCTGAGCCTATATAGCGGTTACCGCGTTAGTTTTTTTTATAGATTTTTAAACAATTATTTTATAAAGATTTTTATAAATATGAATTAATAGTATTGATTTTATTCTTCAAAACATTGAAATAAAAGAAAAATAAGGTTTAGGCTTTTTCAAATTACTTACAAATCGTACAAACGTACCACGAATAAGTACATTCAAAATTTAGTACATTCAAATTTTTGTTTTTAAATAACAAAAATGATATATCTTTTATGTTAAAAGGGTTACATTGAAATTTTTAATTCCAATCTTTCACTAAATTTTATTAAATTTTGGATGTTTACAAATATGACGTTTGTATTTAAATACAAACGTCATATTTGTATCTTATAAGAAAACTGCAACAAACAACAAAATTAGGTGGTTGCTATGTAAAATTAGGCATCCATGGTAACAAAATAAAAAACTTCATAAATATTTATGAAGTTTTTTATTTTGTTACCATGGATGCCTAATTTTACATAGCAACCACCTAATTTTGTTGTTTGTTGCAGTTTTCTTATAAGTTATCGATATATGTATTATAGTCATCATATTAATGTCATCAAAAAAAATATAATACATATTTTGTATAGAATATACCGTCACGATCATTTCACAATTGCCTAAGTCATTTTTTCATGTTATAAGAAATTAATAAATTTTTTTTATAAAAATTGCTAATTTTTCTCTGACATCACAATAAAACAATATAGAAAAACTATTTTCTAATTGGTTTAAGATATTATCTTAAACATAATATATATATATATATATATATATATATATATATATATATATATATATATATATATATATATATATATATATATATATATATATATATATATAATTTATGTATATAGCTCTAAAGGAACGACGCAAGTTAAAAAATAAAGCTTTTTTTTTTTTTTTGATTAAAAAAACTGATCATTTTCCTTTATAAATGCTTTTACGAATCAAGCTATCAAATCCAGCTCTAAAATACTGTGTAGTTTTGTTATAATTCCGAGACAAAATAAAATTGTAGTTTTGCTAATTTTTTCAGATGTGGTTAACAAGATCTTGTAAAGCTAAATAATCACTAACAAATAATGTCTATAATTGCTAAATAATGAAACAACAATTTTTGAAATGGAATGGATTTCAGGTCACTCTTCCAGAATCAATTTGTCTCTCTTGAAGCCATTCACTACACTTTTAAAGTAAAGTGAAATTTGAGTAAAATGCTTAAATTTTACGTTTTTTTAAACCTTTTAAAAAGTTTATCAGCAGCCGTATTCTCATCTCTCCGTTAAGTTTAACAGAGCTTTTGTCTGAAATTTCATTACAATATATCTAAGTAAAGAAATGACGAAAATCTTGTTTAAATTTTTTAAAATAAAACTAATACTAAAATATTTATTTTTAAAATTTTATATTTTTAAAGAACTTTTTTATTAATATCTTTAAAAAGAAATTTTTTACTAACACTCCGTTAAGCTTAACGGAGAGATGAGAATACGGCCCCAGTTCTATATATCTAATTAACTCTTGTTGAATGTCCAGATAAAATTTTTGAAAATCCAGATATTTGACAGTACAGTGTATAATTATCTACTTGGATTGAGAATCCATTACTTGTATAATTGACAATATTTCAACTAAATAAAAGACAGCAGTGTAATGTGGTTCAAAATAAGTAATTCTTTTGAAAAGGTAATCATAATTTATGTTATTTTTCTCTAAAACACTAAAAGTTACAATCCTAACTAGTTGTTTCATAGGAAAGGGGGAGTTAATACTCAGTCAATACTCAGGTACGGATTAAGAGCCAAGTAGGCTCTTATGCGGCCTATTATAATAAAATTTATATAAAACAAAGTATTTATTCTTATGAGTAGTTATTAATGAATTAAAAAATTGCAAAAATAAACAAGTTAACAAATCTGTGTTAAATCAATAAATTGCTTTAATATTTCTTTAATGATATTGCCGTTTTCGTTAGTTCGACTGTTCGTTAATTTACTAAAATTTTAGACTATTAGACGTTAACTTTTTATTAGAAAGTTCGTTAATTCAAGCTGAATTAACGAACTTTCTAATAAAATCTAAATCAAGCTGCTGAATTATTATATTTTCTATAAATAACAGCGACATAGCATTTAAATGTTTTTGGTCCACGGTTAATCTTATATCATTTTTAATGAGGTCAAGTTGAGAATGAACGTTCTCCGTTGCATTGCTTACTATTAAACAAAGACAGTAACTTAAAGTAAACCCTTCAAAGTCATTATAAACGGTCTATTTTTATATATAATAAATTTTTATATATAATTTAAAATAATAAATTTTTATATATAATAAATGGTCTATTTTTAAATTAATAGCTTTGTAATCTGCACTTAAGTTGAGAATATTTTTAACTCAGCTGAGAATATTTTTAACTCAGCAGAAAATATTCTCAAGTTCTTAGGGTAGTTTAGGAGAGATCCGAAGTAAAAGGCATTTAGGTCCTTTCGTTTTCAAAAAATGCCGTTTTATTCTGTGTGCGTTTTGATCGGTTTATTTAAAAAAAAAAAATCACGAAGTTCGTTGTTTTATTTTTGCTTACAAATATTCGGTGATTTTATTATCTGAGAGTTTGAAGTCTTAGCTTAATACTATGGGACAGAACTTATATGAAAGCTGAAACGTTTCTGTTTACTAATTTATTCAAACCACTATAAAGAGATTATGGAAGTAAATTGCTATAAGTGAAAACTAATGTGAAAATTTCGATTTTAACGTTTTTACTGTTACGCAAAGATAAATTAAGAGGTTTTTAGTCATTTATTGAACATTTTAATGCTGTAAACAAGAAGTCTTTTTACGAATAAAAGTAGCATTTTTTGAAAGTTTAAAATAAAAAAAAAGTCATGAAAACAGCTGAAATTTGTTTCAGCTGTTTTTATGGCGCTGCCCCATCGCGTTTTATGTAATTTTAGTGATAGTTTTGTTTTGCTTGATCCTTTGGTTAAAAAAAAATATTAAAAAAAATAATAATATATTGTATAAGAAAGGCTTAAGTTCTACTTTTTAAAAGTATATAACAGTAATCGTCTAAAATAAGCGGGAAAAGAAAAATTTAAGTTTTTTCCCCCAAAAAATAAATTTTTGTATTTAAGATGTGCGTCCGTGGCGCAGTGGTTAGATCGCTTGGTTTATAAGCAGGAGATCCAGGTTCGAAACGGTCCTTGGACATATTTTCGCGTCACGGTAAGGAAGGAGACATGAACTTTCTGGTTAAATGTACTTCCGTGGTGCTCTGTGACAAAACCCTTAGGTCTTCTTGGGGCACCTAAATAAATTAAAAAAAAAATGCAAATCTTGTCTTAACTACGCTGAGTTAGCGTAAAGTGAGCTGTTAATTTAGTAATACATAAATTTTTAAATAATTAATATTTTTAATTTCTGTATGTGAATTATTTTTATACAGGTATATACTTTTTAATATTTAATTAACTTAAAATATTGCATACTAAACACATTTGTTAAAAACAGTAAAAACTTTTTACTTGATAAAATGTTATTATAAAATTTTATTATATATAATTAATAATGCAATATTTTAATTAAATTAAAATATTGCATATCGTATTTCTTCTTTTTTTTTCAAAACTTTAAATTTATTTAAAAAAAACCTTCGTATTTCTCCAAAAATATTTTTACACGATTTAATTTTGTTAATGTTCGGAAATATAATCCAATTTTCAAAACTTGCCCGTAGTTGCCCCGATTAAAAATATATCTGTTTGTTAGCTTTGATGTAGTGTTTCAAATAGATGGATTTATTTAATGTATGGCAGGAATAGAAAGATAAAAATGAGAAAAAACTCAAAAGTTTTGGAACACGTCATTCAAATAGTTGAAAATGATGTAACAGTAGTAGTGGGGGGAATAAGAGCAAAAATTTAAAATAGTTCAAATCGTGATACCAGCTTGAAACTTTCAGGAAGTTGTCTAAGAATTAAAAGAATTCAAAACAAACAAAAAAAAAAGACCCCATTCTAAAAATACTTTTTAGGTACTGGGGCGACCTAAACTATATAATCTTCTAAACCAACGATATAAGGTTGCATTAAGTCAGAATTTAAAGAAGAAATAATTTAGAATAAACAGCTATACAACATTTCTATTTAAAATATGGTTAAAAGCATAAAAAAATTTATTTTTATATTTTTAATATATATATTTCAAAGTACTAAATAGAATTTTTTTTTCTTTTTTTAGTTTACATTTGCTGTCGTATTAAATAAATTACTTTCACAAATACAAACAAGGTTTCGGAAAGAAGATCGTAATGATCTTATCATTAGAACCTTTTACAAGCATGTGTATATAAACTACATCATAACATAATATTCAAAATAAAACGTAATTAACAATAAAAGTTCTAAAGAAAATATAAAATTACAATTAAAAACCTGACTACATCATCCATTAAGATAATTAAATTTTTCAGTTCATATTTGAAAATGGGAAAAGTAAAATGTCGAAATTAGACAAAACAATTTTATTCCAAAGATAGGGTGCACGATATGCAATAGAAAACTAATTTATGCAATAAAAAACTGAATTAACTTATTTCAAAATTAAGTAAAAACTTGATTATAATGAGATCACTCAGTCCATTTTATTCTAAACACTGACCAGAACACATGCATAGCTCTGTTTGCATTTGCCAGGGCCTACGACATTGGTTTCGAAGTGTAGGAGCACAACCGTCAATTTCTAAAAAAAGTCCTCTATATCTAGAAATTTCACAAAAATTAAAAAAAAATGCTCCTTCAGAAAAAAGTGTGGGAGGAAGGCACTGTACAAGTGTAGTAATTGCTACAGTCAGCTCAGTTTTTTTTTCTCTTTTTACTTTTTAGATTATTATTTTTTTTTTATGCAAAAGAGAAAAATAATTTAAATAGGATATGGAGGTTACAAGTTAAAATGCGGCGTTCCAAAAATTTATTCAAAATCGTAGCTGAGCCAAATTGACTTTGTTACGGAAATATTTATTATTTACGGAAAAATCAATGTTTTTTTACGGGTTTTG